TTTGGGATTCACCACAAGAAAAGAAATATGAACAGGAAAAGCTTATATCCACACATGGCTCATTTTGCTTGTCCCCCAACCAACCCTTCGGTGGTTTTTTGGGCCGCTTCCATCTTTGGCAGCTGCTGTGAACATGGAAGCACGTGTGTGTTGGAGGCCCTGTCACGACAGGTGAGGGACCAGAGTTGACAGGCTGTGGCGCTGAGGACAAACTTCTGAACTATGGGTTTCCCACAGTCGTCCAGGCGCTGGTGCCTTGCCTTCATCACTGTGGACCTAGACACCACCCCCAGCAGGCGGAGAAGCCCACACCCCTAGAGGCAGCCGTGGCAGTCTCCACTGCTTCCCCCGTCCTCCCAGCACAGCGTGGGCGCTGAGGAGCTCTTTCTCCTTCCAAGCGCTGCGCCTTCCTGCCCTCTCAGCTGAGGACAGCGATGCAGTGACTCCATCCTGTGTGAATAAGCACATCTCCCAAAGTCTTCATGACCTTCCAAATAGGAAACAATTTAACCGGAGGGTATGGGAGCCTCTCTCCTGGAATCGGGCTTAAAGGTTAGCAAAACATTTCTGAACAATGTGTTGAGCAGGCAGGACTGAAACAGTGGTTTTGTTTCCTCAAGAAGAATTCCTGACAAGCCTGTTTACTACAAAGCCCTTGGTATCACTGAGGGTAAGTGGAAAAAAGTGACAAGTGTTTCCAATATGTATGTGGCTTTAGCATTAATTTATTTGTTATCTTTGACAGGGAAAAGGAGGTAAAAAAAAAAAAAAGCCATTGAGAACCCCGGGTCATTGTGTCCCGAGGCCACACCCTCAGCCTGAGCAAGTTCTGTCAGGAGTTTATTTTTCCTAGGTTTTGTAAGGTTATCAATTCCTCCTGGGGGCAAGCGCTGCATGTACTTTGCAAGAATAGCAGTTTCTTGTGGGAATGAGAAACAAAGCAAGCAGCAGAACTGGCCTGGCATCGTTCACTTTTCCTATCTGCTGCCCTGTAGGCTGGGCTGATGCGGCTCCCTCTGTGCCAGAAGGTCCTGTTTTCCGCACCTGGCAGCCCTGCCTCTCTGCGGGGTCACATTCTGCGGCCTTGGAGAGGGCAGCTGCTTCTTCAGAACGTTTCCATCTCTCGCCCCAGAACTGCCAGGGTTGAGTGCAAATTTTTGAACCACTTCTACTCCCAGGCAAAAGCTACCATGTCCCTCTGGTTTGGGACCCCCGATAACCAAGATGATGTAGTAATTATAACCTCACCCCAGATAACGCTCAGTACCAGGCAGCAGAGCCCTTCTGTGAGTTAACTTTCCTGCTAGCTAACCTTCCTGCTAGCTAGTCTTTTAGACAGGTGGGGGCCAGAAACGTCTTGTGCGTGGAGAACTCTCTGAATCTCAGGAACTCAGCAGGTAGAGCCAGAGTGGCTGGGCAGAAACAAGTGAGTTGTTTTCCACAGTCATCACCCTTCCTACATGCCGCTGTTCCCGAGTGACTAGCTGCAATCTCACGTTCGGAGTCTGCCTGGGTCCTGGCGACCTGCCTGGCTTCTGCATAGGAACCTCCCCAGGAAACAGGAGATGTACAGCTTTCTCAGGACAACGGCTGTAGGGAATCCTGACTTTTTTTTCATTGTTACCATTTGCTTGACTCTTACTATGGCAGCTGAGCACTTTATGGGCACGTTCTTGCGTTTTTGTTCCACACATGACAGCGGCGTGAGGTCAGGGATTTTCCCGCCTCACTTTACAGGTGAGGAAACCGAGGTCTGAATGGCCAAAGAGTGCTCTAGGGAATCCTGTCCCTTGGCCCCATGGGCAGCTCTTCTTTCTGGAATGAGTGTTGCCAGGTGTAGATTTCAGAGAGTGCACGGGGATGTGTGAGAACCCCACCCCCACCCCCGGCAGGCATAGCGTGTCTTCCAGCACAGCATTTCTGGGTGGGAGCAGGCTGAGAGCAGACAGTGTTTCAAGATCTGAGGGTGTGGTGGGCATCACAACTCCCTCAGGGCCACAGCAAGCGTAAGCTAATTGTATTAACAAGCGGCATCTGGATTTTATTCTGTTTTACACGAAACCTGTGTTGTTTACGAACGAACCTAACTTGGGAGACTGGGCTTCAGATGCTGAGGAGCAGACCCTCTGCTTGGCTTTGCCAGCACTACGGGTTCTTTCTCCTTGCTCCTCAGCGACCTCCACGGCAGCCTTGAGAGTTGTCAAAGCCACGACCCAGGAGGCCCTGGGGAAGGCGCCGTGTAAGACCGCAGGACGAGCACGTCTGTCTGGAACTAGGAAGACAGAGGTCTCCCCAGGCTCCCACAGTCCCTGCCTTCCCCTGCAGACTGGGGAGAACGACAGGCGTCTCTGTTCTCCCCAGCTCAGGAGAGGCGGAGCTGTGTACTTTGTATGCAGCCCAGAACATAAAGCATGACACCAGGTGCACGTCTGAAAATAGGCTGGGGAAAGCATGTTGTAAAGAAATTGGACAACTCGAGCCTCCTTGAGTAACACTGACTTCATGAGGAGAGGAAGAACGGGGTGAGAAACAAGTTAAGCAGCCAGGCCCACGCTGTTGACGCCTCAGAGCCCCTGCCCCTGCCCCTGCCCCTGCCCCTGCTTTTGCTAACGTGGGGCCCAGCCAGGCTGGCTCCAGGCTCCTCCTTGCTGCACAGATACTGGGCCCAGGGAAAGCTTATCCAAGCAGTTTCACATCAAAGGCTGAGGGGCAGCCTGATTTCCCTCTCGATCTAGCCAATCAGAAAGCAGGAATCAGAGTGCCTACGCCTGAGAGGAGGGCTTTCCGTGGCCCGCAGTGGCCGTCCCACGCTGTCACTCCCGGCTGATCTCTGCTGGAGAGCAGGGAATGTGGAGGGCCTTCAGGGTAGTACGGAGAGCCTGGCCTGGGCCTGCAGACCTCACTGCACAGTGACAGACCTGAGGGAATGTCGGAGCCACATTTGTCCCCTCCCGCTGGCTGGAGGTATCCAGAGCCCGCCCCTGAGGCTTCCTGCAAGAGCTCTCCTGGAGAGCTAGGGTTACTGGATGGCCTCAAAGCGGGGTGCGAAGTGATGAGTGCTGATGTCCCCCAGGCGAACCCACAGGTGACAGAGGGTTTTGCTGGCTGTGGCTGTTTAGGTGTGTGTGTGTGTGTGTGCACTCATGTGTGTGCATGAGCACGCACGTGTGTGTGTGTGTGCGCGCGTGCCCAGCATGACATCTCCGGTGCCCTGAAGTTACGCATCATCCAGGGAGTGCCTACTCCTCCCACGCTTCTGAGAAGCGGGCACAGAGGTCTCACAGTGAGGGACAGGGGCCTGTGGAAAGGAAGTGACTCCACCGGAGGGTTTCTCATTTCCTGTGACCCTCTGCCGCACCGCCTCCCACTCCGCCGTGCTGCGGTCAGTGCTGCCCTGGGCAGAGCTGTCGCTGCCGGCTCTCCCTGAGCGGCTGGGAAGCTGCCCTTCTGTGAGCTGGATGTGTGTGCCTGGAAGGAGGTCGGCGAGATGGCAGAGCAAGCGCCCTTCACACCACGGACATCCCGGGAGCAGCCGTGCTGCTGGCTTCGTGTCCCCAGCACCCGTCCGTGCAGGGCATGGCAGACATGGGAGGGAGGCAAGGAGGGGCAGGGCGCGACCACAGCCTCCTCTGGGGCCACGCACCCGGCCCCGGTCCTACTCGTTCCGTCTCCCTGTGTGCTGCGGCCGTCCCACTGTGTGTGCCACACTCAGGTCACCAGAACCAAGCTCCAGCTGCTTGCTGCAGACCTCACCTGGGTGTCTCTGTAGCCGCCATTCCACACCAAAGTCGAGGTTAGGGCCTTGCCCCGAACTCTTCAAGGTCTCAGCTCTCAGGCACTGGCACTGCCGTCCCCTGGTCACTGAGTCTGCAGACTCCTCCTGTCCTCTGCCCTAGACCTGTGTGCTCTCCCGCTGCCTCTCCAGAGCCCCACAGCGCCAGCGCCTGTGCCAGCTCTCCCTGCCTGCCCCCGTGGGCGTGGCCTCACGCCACCTCTGAAGGCTTTCCTTTTGCCAGGAGCACTGTCTTGCACCTGCCTTCTTCAGATCGCTGCTGTCCACACGCATCGAACAGCACTGTTCAGAACAAAGCCTCACGCTGGGCCTGTTTCTGCCTTTCCTGCTGATGGCTCAAGGCACTAAACAGAAGGTCGCTCATAGGATCCCTATGTCCCATCAGAGTTCCACCCTGTTCCCAGGGGCGGCACTCTCCCTGTCTCCTTTCTTCCTCCCAGGGGCCCATGACCAGAGCACCACACCCAACCCGGGGAAATGGACCTTCTCCCCCAGGTTGAACTAACTCTGAGCTAAATGACTGGTTTACTTTTTGTCTCACTGGACCAGAACTTGAACAGAGGTGCCAAGGGTTACAAGTGGGCTGCGTGCAGGTCCAGAAGCGGGGAGCCACTCTCCCAAAGCCCACGGTGACAACACAGCCCGTAAGCTCTAGGCCAGTGGTGGCGAACCTATGGCACACAAGCTGGATCCGGCTGTTTGTTATCACCGAATGCTCCAAAAGGTTCGCCATCACTGCTCTTGGCTGTAGTACAGTCCCCATTTACGGCTCTCTTTTTCACAACTGCAAAGGTATCTTAGCAAGTTGTCAGCCTCTGTCTTCAGTTCTCTTTGGTAAATAAAAATAAACCTCTGTGAAATGCCCACAGCTGTGCACGGCTCACGCGGATGGGAACAGGCCCTACACGATGCTCCACGCTGCACCCTCGGCATGGGGATATTTTAGATGAAATGTCACTCATATATTTGGTTATATTTCATTTTTTTGTTTGATTTCTTTGTCACACAAAACTATGTGCACACAGGGATTTTAAATAGTGCTGGGAAACAAGTTTTGTTTACCTTAATCCTTTCTATAAAAATATCCTCTTAGTAATCCAAAATATCTCTCAGGAACCAAGAGAGTGACAGAGCTGGAAAACCCAGCCACCCAGGGAAGGTCCCAGACTGTCTTAGGGTGGCACAAAGTTACAAACACAGCAAAGGGTCCCAACGGGTACACAATATAAATGCTTTATTGCTAGCACAGGCTTCTTCTTAAGTAAATTAAAAGAAATAAATCTTCATTTTCACATTCTGCATTGCAGTTCAAAGGTGACGAGCTGGTTACGGGTGTGTTCGGCTGGACGCACTACAGGGGAGGAGCAGGGCATTCCAGGAAGGACTCAGAAGCCGGCTTCTGTCCGGGCCTCAGGTTGCGGACCGCACTGCTGTTTGTAAATAACAGCAAGGAGAGATTTCTTTAAAACGTCGAGGATAAGCAAGGGTTATAAACAGACAAATGGCATGGTCAGAAAGCAGCAGCTGTTAGACACAGGCTATCAGTGTGTTCCACACTGACTAGGTTGTTTGGTACTTTAACTCGATGACCTTCACCTAGGCTAGAAACTGGCTTGGATCCGGCAGCCGCCAAGAGGAGAGAAAGCTAATACTGTCTCCACCGAGCTGGGGCTCAGGGCAGAGGGGAGTGTCTGGAGGAAAGGGAGGCAGGCCTGCTGCACACCTGCCCCGCCCAGGCCGAGGAGCTCGGGTGGGGAGCTGGCACTCGTGGCACACAGAACCCCGCAAGAGAAGGAAACCCTCAGGTGGGGCGGGACTTTCCAAGGTAACTGCCAGTGGGTGGCCGGCACATTACCTGGGTGTGATGGGGCAGACTCACACGCAGCCCTGGGTGTGGCGGGCGCTGGGGTGCAGCCGACGCTGTTGGGTTCCGGCTGCCGCCATGACCCACTGCATAACTGGCGGCCAGTGCTGGGAATGGAACTATTTTTGCGAAGCACCCAGCCTCATCACCTTCTCCAGTCTACCTGGACTGGTTTTTGGTTAGTTTTAAAGTAAGCTTGCAAAAGACCTTATCCATTTATGAAAGACAACATCCCTTCATAAGCACACAAGCGAGTGCACACGCACGGTCAAAACTCTGCCGCAAGCTCAGAAGCGGTGAGCCTTGCATGATGACCTCTCCTCTCATTTTCTTGATCTTTCACTCCCATTATTTATAGATGTAAGGAAACCAGGGTGGATCAGGAACATCCTAAGTTCTCACTACATAGACCAGCTGCAGGGTACCAGCTCCTGGCAGTTTCGGTCTGGTCTGGCTCTAACTAAAACCATTTCATGTTTTGCTTTGAAGAAAGGGATAACATGAAATGGTAATTTGGCTGCAAAACCTTGGAAAATTGTTCCCGGCCCAAACATCTGTCCCAAATGAGCTCCGCGGAGACTTTCTTGGGGAGGGAGGGCTGGGGATGGGGAGAAACGGGGAGGAGGAGGACGAGGACAGTGTGAAGGCCACCTTTCCTGGTGAGGGGAGCTCCCAGCGACAAACACTTCGGAGGACCCCTCTCTGCTTCCGCCCCGCCCCGCAGCTCCTCCCCCACCTTCCACGTCACGAAGGTGACCCTTTCCGGAGGAGCCCGGAGCCCTGCCCCTGGTCAGCATCAGCCGAGAGGCCTGCCTGTCGTGTGCCTCCCTCTCAACCTGCAGAGGCTCCACTCTCTTCCCGAGAGCAGGCCCAAAGAGAAAGCAGAGGGGAGCACACAGGCGCCTTCACCTTCCTCCTGGTCTCCTTAGGAGTTCTTCTGCGGGATCTTGACAGTGACCGTCTTGACTTCCGAGTACTCGCGCAAGCCAGGCTCTCCCCTGAAACACAGAACAGGAGATTGGACACCTGAGGCCCTGGCAGCCAGGCCTGAGCCGTGCAGGAATCCTCGGGGAGGTGTAGTTTATCCCCAGGAAACTGCAGGTCTTGGGAGCCATGCAAAACCGCCACCAACGGGCCCTCTTCCGTCGCTCCGGAAGCAGCGACCGGGCCTTACAGTCAAAGGAGGGCGCGTCTGCACACCACTGCAGGAAAGCCAGACTCTCCCGCTGCCAGAGCGCCAGCCTAGGAGAGCCGTGCCGGAGGGTGCCGGGGCAGGCCAGGACAGGGTGTCCCAGCGCCTCGGCCACCATGCCCACCCGCAGCTGGCACGGGTTCTGAGGGCTGAGGCCGCCCCCTAGGCCCCAGCTTGTGCTCTGTGCCCGCCCCCATGGCTCTGTCCCAGTCGTGAGCCCCGAGAGCTGCTTGCTGCCACTGGAGGAATAGCTGGGTTCCCAGACCAGGCCCCTTCCAGCTAGTCCTGAGGGGTGCTGTCCAAGTTCCTGCAGAGTCAGGGGAAAGACAAAGAGCTGACTAGAAGGGACCTGGGAACTTAGTAAGTTCCCCCCAAGACTTCAAGGACTGTCAGTCGTTCAGGCCACAGACAGTAAGCCATTTCTATGGGGCCGGCACTGTGTGGGGTTCAGGACAAGTGAGGCCAGCTGACTGGCCCCAGCCTCCGCAGAGCTTGCGCTGGTCAGGGTGGGGGTGGTCTCTCTGGTGGCCACTTCCACCTGCCCCCCTCCCACAGGACGCTGCGTGTAGCCGGGCCTGCTCACCGCGGCACTGCTCTCCTTCCATCTTTCTTTCCTCCCCTCCCTTCTCATTCAGCTGCTTTTTCTTTCTCCCCTCTCGTCATCAAATCAAGCACATCCTATTTCCTTTCAAAGGCTCAGGTCACTCTGCCACTTTGCTCATCCGGGTTGACGAGGCCCAGGCACGCCAGGGGGCCAAGGCAGGGTGGCAGGTCACCCCGCCCAGAGCGAGAGGCGCCCCGTCCTTACGGGAGCCCTCATCACCTCGCCCCAGCGGCCCGCTCTTAAGGACCAGCATGGCCCTGGCTGCCCTGATGTCTTCCTGCCCGCAGGCAAGTCTGCGCTGCGGCTCCCTCGGCACTCCCGGTGCCTCTGTCCGAATGAGTTACTCCCTCCTCGCTCCCGGCTGTGCGCACTTGGGCACACCTGGATCCCCCTTGCCTCCCACTGGATCTCTGGGCTGTGAGAGATGTGAGCAAAGCTACAAGCTGCACAGCACGCTCAGCGCTGCAGCAGGGCCAACCCCGCAGTCCCCGTGCCGGAAGCAGTGGGGACCGCGCTGGCTCGGGTTCCTGGGTCAGGCCCCAGGCAGGAGGCTCACACTGCCTGTTCTGCGGCCCAGGGGCACTGCCCATGTGCAGGGGCACCGAGGGGTCCCGGGGAGCAGCCTTGGAGCAGCGTAAGCAGCAAGCAAGAGGCACAGGAGAAACCTGGGGCAGGACCGGCAGACGGGGGCTCTGCCATCAGCTGGCTGAAGATTCCGCTGAGGCCACCCAGTCCTGAAGCTCAGCACATGCAAGTCACCCCCCGACGGAACTGTACCAAGGACCCCACCTCAGCAGGTCCTGGGAGGGCGCGGGAGACAGACGAGGGGCGTCTGGAACACGCCTTGAGGAGCACTCCTCCAGGGCCTGGAAGCCCGGAGGTGGACGAGCTCCAGGTCTCGCTCTTAAATCTGTTTATCCCAGCTCAGTTCTGAGCCATGTGCAGCTCCACGGTTAACAAGGGACAACTTTGCCACAGAAAGGCCAGCACCTTGCCACGGAAGCGCCTGCCTCTGTGTGTGGTCACGTTCACAGATACACAGTGCCAGAGGGCACAGGAGGAGCGGAAGCCGGCCGGCCTGCTTCTCAGCACAGCAGGCTGTTCCCTAAGATAGGCCAAGCGTGGCGCACCTAGGGGTAAGGGAAATACTGCATTTTGCTCCCAGCAAGCCCTTTTAGGAATCACTCAGACTCACCCATAAAGCAAACAAGGGTTTCTGTTTGGGGAATATATTTCCCTGCGCTTGTATCTGGCTTACAGCAGCATTTCTCAGAATGAGGTCCCCAGACCACCTGCATCAGAATCATTCCAGAAGCTTGTTAAAAATGCAGATCCTGGGCCCCAGCCCAGTTCTGCTAAGTCAGGATCTCTGGGAGGGGGTCCCCAGATGAGCACACACTCCAGCCCCCAGGCTGTGCGTGCACGTGTGCACTCACACACGCACACACACACATACACCCCCCAGACGTGCTAGAGAATCCCCGTCACACTCCCATCTGCATAGCCTGTGTCCTTTGTTTCTAAAACGCTAAGCTCACAGCTTCCCCCATCCCTGTGTGACACGTACTGTCCAGCGTATGCTTTGCCACCGGTCACCCCATGGCGCTGACTTGGGAAAGGGCATAAGAGAGAAGCAGCAGCTGGGCAGGCAGAGCTGGGAAAAGCTGGGCTCAGGTCTCTGAGCTCAGAGGGCGGGGCCGGCCCACAGGCAGCCTGCAGCTGGCCGCCCTCCAGGGCAGGCTGGGCTCCCAGACTTGGACCATGCTTCCAACTGAGGAGCCCTTGAGGAGAAGAGAAGAGGACTCATTCTTCGAGGCTGGAGGCGACCTAACGTTGCAGTGCGGGCAGTGAAGAGAGGCATTGTGGGAGAAGTAAGGATGTGGTGGGGAAGGTGCAGGGAGCCTGTTACCTCGGTAGCTCAGCCGCACTATTGTACCCCAGGGGTTGGACCATGAAGCACTGAGAGCTTCAAGGCTCAGAATAGTTGGGAGAATCACACTGCTCAGGTATGAGTCCTGGCACCCGTGCAACCTTGGACAAATTCCTCAATCTCCCAGAGCCCCAGGGTTCTCATCTGTAAGAAAAGAATATTTACAATACCTGGGGTGCCTTAGAGGATTGCTGCAAGGGTTAAGTCAGAATTAAGGAGGCAGACTGTCCGGCCGTGTCCCGCAAGCCTTCCGAGGGGGTCAGCGGCTGTCTTTGGGATGTGACTTAAGCCAGCCTTTCCACCCACATCTCCAAGAGGTGCCTCCACTGACCCTCTGCCCTAACTCTGCAGTCTCAGCCTCAATCTCGGGGTCTGAGCTGGTGATCCATAAGGGGGTGCGCTGAGCAGGTTCGGTAGGAGGGGCAGAGAGCGCTGAGCCGGGCAAGCTCAGGATTGGTGGGCAAAGTGCAGAGCTCACAGCTGGTGACTTTGTTGTGGAGGAGTGAAAACAGACAAAACAACTCTAGATCTTACGTAAAGCCTCTTCTTTTTGGAGTCTTAGGTAAAGACCTCAAATGCGGTGAAACAAAAGCTTCCTAGAGGCCACCCCTGGCCCTTGGGCTGGTGCTGTGTGGATTTCTCCTCCTAAAATTCAGAGTGATATTTTCTCTGTGATGCCTTCCCTGACCCCATCAGGCAAAATTAATGGATTTTCCCTCCATACTTACAAGATTTTTTGATCCACCTTCCTCAGTGACTCTTTATCACATGAAGTTACTAGTATATTAATTTTTCTCTGCTTCCTTTTAGTGCTAAGGAGGTGGTTTTACTCATGGCTACTCTTAGCTTATAGTAGCATGTGCTCACCAAAATGTTATTTTAGTAAGTGGATGTAAGAGAATTGAGCCCTTCTATGATATCTGCAGTTGCCATTTCTCCGCAGACAATAGCAACTTTGACACTTACATTTCTCTTCCATTTCCAGACATCTTGAACCCTCCAAAGGGGCTCTGGGCATTTAAGGCATTGTAACAATTGATCCTGAAAGAAGAAAACATACCCTATTGTTAGTACAAATTCCACCTGCACAGAAATAATCACACTAGTCTGTTATTTCCTTTTAGTTCTACCTTTTGTTTCTTTTCTCTAAATGAGAAAATTGCAGGTTAAAACATGCTGTGATTACCTGGTCTAGCCAATAAGAAGTGTATCCAAGTCTGGGTGACTCAGGTCTTCCTCATCCTTACAGGGTGAATTTATTGAACCCTAGATCCTAAAAACTGTAAGTCCTGCTGTAGTTTGGACATGCTTTGTCCCCATGGCTCAGGAGTCACAGGCCTGGCCCAGGGTGGCAGTGCTGGGTGATGGTGTGATTATAGCGGGAGTCCTTAAGTCACTGGGACAGCTGCCCTTGGGGGTTAAAGGTCTCACCCATGGGCTCCAAAGCTCTTAGAACTGTAAGCCGTTCTGAGCGAGCCCAAGCCCAGAATTTCTCTCTCTGGCCTTGTACTTGATGAAGCCCTCGCTTCCCCTCCCGTGTGTTCCATTCTATCCGCCACAAAGTGACAGGGTCGTGGGGCCCTCCCTGCGAGCTGAACAAACTTTTCACAGTAAAGCTACCCTAGCTCTGGCACTCCAGCTCAGGAACGGAGCATGAACTAATACAAGACGCTCTGGTACCAGTGGAGTTTGGCAGGCCAGGACAATGAGGACGCTCCTGCTCTTACCACACAGTCCCAGCCTGCATTGCAGAAGACACTGTGAGGGCCTTGTTGATGTCATTAGTGAAGACAGCGGCTACGAGTCCAAAGTCCGAGTTATTGGCTCTTTCAATAACCTCGTCCATCGTCTTAAACCTCAGAATTTCCTGAACGGGACCGAAGATCTGCAACAAAACAGTTCCACTCAGCATGGTCGCTCTGCCGTTTCTTTATCTGCTTTCCCCACTTCAAAGCAAGTTTACTTGGCCTTGATGATTTAATTGGCATTTAAGGGTAGGGGCACCAAGGTGTAAAATATTCGGAACTTCCCTGGGGTAAGATTATGCGAGTCTGACCTCAGAGTTTAGCATTCACACACCTCAACTTCCCTAGCATGGCTTGACCCCCTGTGTGTACTCCTTCAGGTGCGGGAGAGAAAGTGGCCTTCTCCCTGACCCCGGAATGCTGCTCAGCATGCGCTCCCATCCCTCACGTGCACAGACACGAGGATGCGTGCGTTCCTACTCAACCACCTACTGGCCCATATTTTCGAGAAGTGCTGTGGCCAGTGGATCACTGAGGCCCTGACTGACCATCCTGGCCAGTGACAGTCACGGTCACACAGCATGGCCCCTCGTCTCCATGTAGCCTGCTTGCGCGTGTGTGAAATACTAAGACCTAAAATTCTGCTGTTGTCTCCTAGACACGCTCTGGAGAACATCCCAAGAAAGATGCGGCTTTTGTAAGAATGCCATATCTGATACCTCCTCCTTGGCAATCCTCATGTCATCCGTGACGTTGGAAAACACGGTGGGTTCAATGAAAAACCCCTTCCGGCCCAGGCCTTTGCCTCCACATTCCAGCGTGGCGCCCTCGGCCACGCCGCTCTGGATGAGCTCCAGGATCCTGTTGTACTGTTTCTTATCGATCTGTGGGAGGAAGGGCGCAACAGGCAAATCCTTCTCTAAAGACGGAAACAAGAATGCTCTCAACACCCTCTCCACTGCGACCTTTTTCTAAATTTCATTATATCCAGTCCAATCTTATGAAACCGTTATTTATCAGTTAATCACCTAAGAAAAGTGGCAACTTTCTACAGTTTGGCTTGATGTAGGGAGGCTGCCACTCAGGTACTGCTCTGATGATCGTATCTAGTCTGAAGGACCGGACGAAGATTTCGGAAATATTTCAAAACGACGGAGACACTGGCTAATTTATTATTCATGGCTTATTGGAGGAAACTCCAACTTCTATAAGCAAATGAATAATTTAGCCAGTTGTAATGAGAAAACTACGTAAGTTAACACACATCTTTTTTTTGCTAGTGCCACACACCAAATCCTGCGGGGTTCATTTGGAAAGGAATTCCTTTAGAGATGATTAAGTGTACAGAGGGAGGACAAGCTTCCTAGCCCACAATGTGAAGACAGTCTCTCCCCTGCTCCAAACTAAGTCATCATTCATTCCATTATTGTGGTAAATGATACAGCAGCCTGCATTCACTTCCAAGTTTGAATGCTCAGCTAGAACACCAGTCTCCCCAAACTGAGCCGCCATCGTCCTGCACAGGAAGGCTCACGCTACGGAGACCCAGGTGACAAGTGGCTCACACGTCCCTATAGACCGTCAGACTCCAGTTCCGCTTGGAAATATATCCCGATGTTATGGTGAGCCACAGCCCACGCCCCGAGAGGAAAGACCCTGCCACAGCCAGCACTGTGAGCAGAGCAAGAGAACCACAGAGCGAGGGAAGTCGGGCAGCCCCGCCTGCCCACATTTACGAGCAGCACGGACGCTCGTCAGACTAGGGCAGGCTGGTGAAGAACAGACACACCGGAAGCGGAGAGAGTCGCCCTCCACACTGTGCACCTGTGGGGGTGTCTGGAAGCCTGGGCGTTGGGAGGATTGGGAGTGGGTTCTGGTGTCAAGAATCATCTTATCAGACTCCAAGTCATTCCCTGAAGTTCAAAACAGCCCTGTTCAAGCCTGGACCCACAGTGGCTCAGAGGTAACATTTAGAGAAGGAAAGCAAGCATAAGCAGTAAGCCGTACCTCTGGGGGTGACACTTCCAGCAGGCAGACTGGTAGGGAAGGAAGAAGGCCGCAGGAGAGGGGAGGAACCCAGAGCCTGTGCTGGCCAGAGGCAGGTGGACGGGGAGCGGGCATCTCCCTACCTGGGGCCCCTGCTCGGTGGTGGGGTCAAAGGGACTCCCCACTATGCGCCTCTTGGCCCGCTCCACGCTCCTCCTCACGAACTCCTCGTAGATGGACTCCTCCACGAAGATGCGCGAGCCCGCGGTGCAGCACTGGCCTTGGTTGAAGAACACGCCCTGGTGCGCCTGCTCCACGGCGTAGTCCACTGCAAGAGGAGATGGCTGTGGTCTCCATGCACATGGCCTGGTGGCTCCAGCCCTGGAGTGCGCCCCTCCCCACAGGTGTCACCTCTGTCATCCCAGGGCGCAGCAGCGGACAGACCGCACTGGGCTCAGATCCCGACTCAGTTCTAAGACCCTGACATTGCTCACGGTGCAAACGGGGATAATTTCACTTGCTTGAGTCCCTTTCTGGTGCTGTAAACAGAGGGACTCGTACTGCTGCCCCAATAGCAGTCTCAAAAGCCAGACAGGGAACGGGAAGGTTCACATCTGCCAGGTGACCAGGCAACTGTGAGAGAGAGACCGAAAAGGGAAGCCACTACGTCTGGCTCTTTGCCTGCAGGAGTATAAGCTGAGAGTTTGCCAGATCTTTCCAACTTAAGGACAAAACAAATCAACATATTAATGTACAATTTTGTTTTTCGCCACGGTGTAACGTTTAGACAGGTCAATGTGTATCTAAGTACATTTGGCCTGTGGGCTGCCGACTTAGAGCCCTAGTCTGTGGGTTCTTATACGGCTAATTAGTATTTTGGTAGTTAAGTTGTACCAGCAGAGGATCCGCGGAGACGCCACCATTCCTCTGCGTGCAGATGGAACTGTACAAGAGCGAGGGTGAGCTTTCCGCGTTCGCCTCTTACGTTTCACACTTCGAATCACTGCTGCACGGCTGGCTGACTGCACCGGGGCCCGGACGGCACGACAGTGCAGGGCCTGCTCCTCCAGAGGACCAGGTTTAGGAAACCCGATCTTGACAACCAGTGTGAAGCTAGCGCTGAGCTCTGCAAATTCCAAGCTGGGACTGTGATTCAAGCCATCTGCTTTCTGTTTTCTGACCCCTGCATTGGTGGAACTGGGAAAGCAGCTCTGCCCGGAGGAGGATGTGAAGAAGGAAAGGAACGACTGGATGAGATTTTGGAATTTCACTCCCTGGAGAGCTTTCCAAAACAGAAAGCCACACCTGTCCAGCACTGACTAAGGCGGCCTCCTTCCTGGAGATGTGCGTTTCCTAGGTTTCTGCCCTGAGCTTCCGTAAAGTCCTCCTGGCAAGGTCCATCCCCACAGAACGGACCTGAGTGTTCTGTCATCCTTGCCAGAGGTCCTTTGAGCAGCAGGAAGGGCTGGAATGCAGGGTTTGTGAAAATGGTGGCAGGGCTGGTGAGTCGGATGTGTGTGCAGTGATCTACAGCTACCAGGGCCCATGAAGAGTTTAGACTTCTTCATTCTAGGCAGAGAGACCCTCCCTCAGGCATCTGCAGGCTTAGAACACTGCTCTACACCCCTATACCCACTGTACCCACTGACTGAGGCTTGACCTCTGCTGTCCTACTCTGCACCATCCCAGAATCAAAATGGCTTGTCAGTGTCTAAAACAAACTCTGCTCATCAGTCCGTGAATCAAGGCCCCTTTCCCAGTATTAGATTGCTTTCTCTCAGAAAGATACCTCCATCACCCTTATTGTCAAAGATCTTAGTGTCTTATCAAGAGCAGGACATACCAACACTCAAGAGGCTAAGGCAGAAGGACAGCCGGTTCAAGGTTGGCCTGGACTATGTGGTGAGACCCAGTCTCAAAAAACAAAGCAAAACAAGTGGAGATAAAAAAGACAGCAGCAACAATCCCAGCAGTCAGGAGGCTGAGGCAGGAATATTGCCCTGAGTTCAAGGCCATCTTGGGCTACACAGTGAGTTCATAGTTGAATTAGAATCTGTCTCAAAAAACAAAAAAAAAAAGGAGCAAAGCCTAGGGTGCTAGGATGCATACAATATCTATGGTTAACTTACAATCTGCATCTGCAAAAATAATGTTGGGACTTTTTCCTCCAAGTTCCAGAGTTACTCTCTTCAAATTACTTCTTCCAGCTGCCTCTTGGATAAGCTTCCCAACCTGAAAGGGAAGAAGCGAAGAGAGGTAAGCACACCTCGCAGCTGAGACAGCCGGCAGCCAAAGCCAGCCCTGGGCAACAAGGGGACGTAGCAGTCGCTGATCCTTAAAGTCAGAGACCCCACTGAATGTCACAGGTGCCGCTTGTGTGGCCAGCGTGGGTGGCCAAGGCATCAGGCAGCTGACCATCCACAGCAGAGTGACCTGGAGGACCCATTAGTTTCCTGGTGGAAGTTAAGCCTGGAATCTCAATCACCAAAAGATTTCCTGAAAGGTAAATGGCAAACAAAATGTGAGTGGAGATTCCCACCACTGCACTGTGGCCTTTGGCTTGGAACACTGGCTCCCGAAAACCTGCCAACCCACCCCCCTTGAAGGACGTGGTGGGGGTGAAATGAGTGTCCACGGAGCTCCAAAATGGCAGCGGGTGGGGGTCATCACGGGTCCAAAGAGACCATCAGTGTCACACCTTCATCCTGGCTGAGGCTGCAGAGAAAGGACCCTAGGCAGCTGAGAGCCGGTCGCTGTTAGCGCCATCCTGTAAATTCCTGCTTATACAGAAGCCGCTTACACCAGGAGGCGGGTCAGGAGAGAGTACCTGCATGGAGTGGACTCACTGCTGAGGACGCTGAGTGTGGAGAAGGACAGGGTGTGACACGCTGCCTCTGCAGTGGTGAGCGCTGCCAGAAGGTGCCCATAGCTACTGGCTCCCTCAGGCTCTGCTTCAGTGGAAAAGAGTTCCCTAAGGGGAGGCCTCCCGGGGGCTCCCATAAACCCACTGCAGGTGGCAGTGGTGAAAGGCCCTGGCTCTACAGCCCCACATGGGCCCCTTTGAGGGACCGCATGTGCTCCAGCACGCCCCCTGTGCCCAGCCGGGGCATGGCAGAGCTGCCCTATAGCTCGACTTCCCCCTCCCCAAGCTGGGGATCACCCTTCTCCTTCCTTCCCTCCTCCCTGCATTTGGTCCCAACGTGAGTCACGCAGCACCCAATCTTGCTGTGCTCCAAACTGGTTTGAAACAGTAAGAATATTACCTCTTTTCAGCACAGGTCACTGTCACAAAATTTCAGTTATGAAACTTGCATTATGCCTTCAGATTTGCATTTAGGAAATAAGGTATACTTGTTTTAGGCACAGTAGGGTGCTGACTATAAATATTTGGGGCAGGCAGAGCCAGCCCGCAGTCCTCTTAGCCCTGCTCCCTGACACACACCACACCATGCCACACGCTGACATTCTTTTCCACGAGCAGTGTTCTTCTGTGATTTATTTTCATGGCTACAGTACCTGTACAAAAGTCTCACTCCCTCTGTGGTTTTCAGAGAAGACTACTTAAGAACAACTGATCCTGCATCAGTGCTTTGCCAGCTTTTCCTCAGAAGCCAAATTAATGCTAAGCACTGTAAGGTAAATGTCAGCTGAGTAGCATCTTTTCCTTTATCTCTGGAAGAAAGTCGAGCTGCTGCTCATACCCCAAGAGAACAGGACGTGTTCGGAGGCGGGACATCCGCTTCCTGCTGGTGTAGCCTCAGGACAGGGACATGTGTGAAAACCCCAGTCTCCACCACTCTCCCCCACTCAACACTATTTGAAGTTCCTCTGTGTGCCAGGGACAGTGCTGAGCTTAGTTCCTTGCCGACAAGGGACTCACGGAGAACAGGACTTTCATGCAACCCTGGCAGGAGCTCAACAAGCATAGTCAGCTTCGCAGTCTGCTTTAAAGAAAACTGATTCTAATTTAATATTAGATCTAAACAGATTAAATTCCAGTTCTGTAGGTCTTTGCTGTAACCCGGAGTCAGACCACTCTGATCCTCACCTGTAGAAATGGAGCAGAATGCAACCACCCCACTCCCATAACTACAGGGTCACACGTCACAGGCCTTCTTCTGGGACTCTTGGTTTCCAGGCCAAAGGCTCTTAGGGAAATGTATTACTACTCAGGAACCCTGCCTGACAGCAGAGGGAGGTGAAGGGGCCTTAAACAGGAAGCAGTTCTCATTATCATTACTGAAGGGGAATTAGATGCTGCCTCAAACCAGGAGGGTCTTAACACGTTTAAAAGCAAAGCATTCAAGAAGAACGAGTTCTGACAAAGTTGTTAAGAAAATACGGTAGGCCCAGCACAGGTGACGGCCAGGTATTACAGGGACCCTATGCAAGGGTTTCCAAAGTCAAAATCAGTGAGATTACAAAATCTAAGACCGTGTTATAAAACAAAGGGCTAGACTTGGTCCACTCTTCTTTGATGGAAACCTTTAAGTGTGGCTCCTTGGAGAGGTGATACACCAGCCACATTCAGCCCTTCCTACACAAGCAGAAGGTGGGAGGGCACGCCGGGTAAGGGAGGCCTGCAGGCCACGTGGACTGTGACAAACACGAGATTCCACCTAGTCTGACAAAACAGGCATTTGTAAGACACAATGGAGGAGCACATAGTTTGAAAGACTAAATCCTGTAAATGACACAGAGGGGAAGAGAAAGGCCCAGAGGCCCAGTTTCGAGTTTATCATCCATTTTTTCAGTCAGAAATGGCTTCCAAAGCACTCCTATTATTCCTCTGGGCCATGGCTAACAACCTGGCTCATCATAACCACATGCAGCTTTACAGACTGTCCTTTGACCCAGAGAATTCAGAAGAGCCGGGTACTCCGAACTCCGGCTCAGCGACCCATGAACTTCAGTTCGGGAAAGCCGCTTTGGGAAAGCCCTGAGCCCAGGGTCTCAGCATCTTCATCCGCAGAAGGAGGGCCAAGCCATAAGTTTTCCCCTTAGCACTCTGGTTAATTGGAGGCATTAAAAAATGACAGATGGGGCTCCTGGGCCCCTGCTCATTCTGAGAGTCTGTACATAATTCTCTTTTTCTCGCCTTACGCAGATGTAGCTTTTCCCAAGAGCACCACAGCTGCCCAGAACGGCAGGAACCCTGGTTCGTTTGCAGCTTCCCCACGCAGGGCTCCGTATCAGAGTAAGGGACAGTGTTCGTGCCCCGGCTGTGCTTTCCTAACTCTGCACTCCCTGCTGAGTCTCCCAGCTCTGTCCACACACCCCAAGCCGTCAAGGGTGGGGAGCTAGGGGCTCCCCCATGCAGAAGGGAACTGGGCTAATTCTCAGCAGGGAGGCTGGCGCAGGCCGGCTCTGCCTCCCCTGTCCTTTGAATGGGCTGCAAGATTGATATCAGGAATATCCCTGGAAGAGCCGCCAGGTCCTGGGCTCGTGTTCCATCACCATGCAGCAGTGCAATTTGGCCGTTTGCAAGGAAAATCATTTGTTATACAAGACAAAAACAAACACAAAAGGCCTTTCATGCCTTCCTCTTCAGGGAAGTTTCCCCCCAAGAGAAGTTTCTAAAATTGGGTATAATTTTTCTTTTTACTAATTATCCAAATTACGGTGCATTCCTTCTCAGCGATATAATAGCTTTTTTAAAACAGAAAAATAAAAATAAATCTCTAGCAGTGACCTGTGTAAAATGGTTGAAGATGCCTGCTTTCTGCAGCAGATAGTCATTTCTTAGACTAAATCACAAGCTGCCTGACTCCAGTTCTCTTTTCTTTCCAGATTTTCACGCTGTGCTTTCTGGTTCCATCTATGTTGAAAATAAAAATGCCCAATACACACGAAGCAGGCATCCCTAGTCTTTCTGAAATACTCCAAACGGCCACACTAATCTGCTCAGACTTCCACCCAAAGTGACAGGACCAGGGCCCTCAAGGGGTAATAATAGTTCCTTTATTTAAGCAGTATCGGCAAACTCAAAATGTTATCTGTGAAATGAAGATTAGGAAAATTAACATCATCCCTCAGCATGTTTCCAACCTTCCTTCCTGAATCACCACACCCACCCACCCCCTGGCCCCAGGAAGCCGCCTTCTCACGTTGGGGCACACCTGTGTCCTGGAGTGTGCCTGACGTGCCCGTGGCCCACTCCTGGTGCCGCCCCTGGGTTTGCCTCCTCCTCCTCGCATCCCACAGAGCTCTGACCCCACTCGATCCCTACTCGTGTTTATTGGCTGTCTGTCTCCCTCACTGTCCTGGACTCCTCCACGTATACACACCACCTGACTTGTGTCCTGTGCACACGGACCATGGGGATCTGCGACAACACGGCTGGGTCAGTGAGCCAGAGCAGGGCACCTGCCCTTGGCGTCTTTGGAAACAGGAAGCTCAGACGGGACAGCACCACATGCCAGCCCTTCCAGGCTGTGCTCTGCTGACCCTGGCAGAGCACCCTGGGCTTTCATCTGCCTTATCTATGGCTTTCACCTCCTCCTTTCCACTACAAGGGAGGGGATGGTGCTATGGTTCGAGCACGGGTAGCTTCACATTGGAATTCCCAGGGCCCTCAACGTCTTTTCTAAGTCTGGGCTCTACGTTTGGACATTCTGAACATCCTAGTCTGGAGCAGAGCACACAGGCACGGTTATTTTTCAAAAGCTACCTGAAATATTCAAGTGTGCTCTGTAGTGTTAAGAACCACAGTGTCGGAAAGATCTTCAGAGGCATTTTTCCCACGCGTGTGTCTAATCTCTCCTCGGTGGCCACACTTCCCAGCTGACTGTTACCGTGACCAACCCCTGTTCTGTGCTACTTGCTTTCACACACATTTCCTTTCATCTTCACAAAAATCCTCAGAGGCGAGAAGCACTATTCAATTTTATAGTTGGAGGAAAAAAACCAACCAAGTTGGGTGGGCCAAGGGAGGAGCTGGTGACGGTTCCCATGGAGGGCAGAGCCAGGCCTGGACCCAGAATGCCCTGGGCTCCGTCCTTGCCACAGCCTCATCCTGAGGTTCCTCCTCTCCAGGATCCCATCCCATCAGCTCCCAGCAGGGTTCTGTCAATCAGAGCCCACCTACGACTTCCTCAGTCTACCTCCACGCCCTGTACTGGGCCATGCTTTTGTTATGTAATACTTTCTCCTTCTAGTTCAGATGGATTTTTTTAAAAAACCCAGATTTTGACCTCTTGGCCTGCTTTGATAAGAAGAAACCTGGAGTGTTA